GCTCTCCTACTCGAACAACCTACGGATCAATTCTGCTCATATCATGCCCGTCTACATAAAAACCTGAAAACCATACCTGAAATCAATAAGGACCCGTTGATGCCCTACTGACAGGCCAGGGGCCGGGTGCAGCAAGCCCCAACTAGGGGCGAAGGTTGGGGATCCCTCCCCTAATTGGGGCTTGCTGCACCCGGCCCCAGAACCGTAGCTCCGCCAGTTGTAGTTGGGTGGAAGTGATGTAGTGGCAAGTGGAGCCGAGCGGGGAAATCTCGGATCGATCTCACCCAAGCCAAGCGAGCCTTCTACCCCACCGACGTCTATCACTCCAGACTTGTCTATGAGCAGGGTACCGTCACATTCGCATTTTTTCAAAAAAAAATTCCCCTTCAGAGAGGGTAGAGAGGTCTCGATGTGACCATACACCAGCAGCCCTAGGGAGCTCCCCCACCCTGACCGCTACCCTCACCATCATCGCTGTTTCTATAGTATTTGATAGTATTTGATAATGAGACCACTAGACACAGCTCAACTCCGCCCACTTTTCCCTATAAAACGACCGACGAGCGGGAAGGCGGAGGGGGGGGGCAAGAGGGAGCCGTGGGGGGATGAATTGGTGTCATGAAGCGGCAAATCCACCAAATTCGTCAGGAAAAACCCAACCGAACACGACTCTCTTTAACGACCTCCGTCAAACTCCGTCCCCACTACAAGAACCCAAAATGCGACCCCCTCGTTCGGTCTGGGAAAATAAAATATTGACCTGTACACACCTTGGTCCCCCCACGTTACTGTATTACTCTTCATTTTTCTCTACCACGGCAAAAAGACTGAATGATCCAGTGGATATTGTCTATTGAAGTTCTAGTTTCCATTTTAGCCATGAACCCCACTTTGGGAGGGACTACCCGAAAAGATCCAGCTACCATGGTATACAGAAGACGTTACTTCTGTCCTAAGGTTATCAATAATGAAAGTGGTAGAGGAATAAATTGCATGGCGCTGGTTGATATTTTCAGAATGAGCCATTTTTATGACATTTTCCTTAAGAGTAGGAGGATTTGAAGCAACAGTCCCAGCAGGGTTTTTACCTTCGACACTAATGGTGTGGAACGATGCGCTAGCCCTAGTCAAGAACATAAGAAGTGTGACTGAACAAAAAACTCACCTTGGAAAGCCGCTAGAAAGGGAGCTGAACGGCTTCGAAGTGGGCGTGGTTGGAAATCGGCCGAGGGATTGCAGCCGATTTCCAACCACGCCCACTTCGAAGCCGTTCAGCTCCCTTTCTAGCGGCTTTCCAAGGTGAGTTTTTTGTTCAGTCACACTTCTTATGTTCTTGACTAGGGCTAGCGCATCGTTCCACACCATTAGTGTCGAAGGTAAAAACCCTGCTGGGACTGTTGCTTCAAGGGAGTGATTACACGTATCAAGGCATACACTTCCGCCAACGTCAATGCTCGATTTGTTCCTTTTCTTCTTCCCAAGTGAATTCGTCCCCATATGTCTACCGCGGAAAGTACCTAGTTTAACCGACCTAGGTTGGATCCGGTCCACGGGTCGAGAAAATCGCAACGGCGCTTTTTTTCGCAGAGCCATAGCTGTAA